ACTCTATAATTCGCATACCTCACTCCCACCACCAGGTGCATGTTCTTTATGCTTCAGTTCCTTCCCATAATTGTTTCTATTTAATCTTGCATAGCTTGGTACATTCCGATCAGAGGCCTGGTCAGAGGCCTGGTCTACACAGAAACCCTTAGCCATTTTACTACTAACTCAGAGATCATTGCAACAGTGTCACTTGCTCTAGGTGACCCTGCTTTGGCAGGGGCTTGGGCTAGATGATCTCCAGACATCCCTTTCAACCCTAACAATCTGTGATTCTGTGAAGCATATGAAATATGATGTTGCTGAAAATCTGCATGGTTCAAAACTGTTTTTCTCAGGCTAAAATGGTGTTTGAAGACAAGAAGCTCTGTTGAAAGTCCCTTTTGTGGATTTAGAGTGACAGTATAGTATGCTGAGATCTTAGTCTGCCACCAGTGTTTCAACAAGTAGTTTAAATACGGTTAGAGATAATTCTTAGAACTGCGTATTAGAATTGCCTGTTTGCGTTTGAAGCTCAGGAAGGACGGGTTAGTATCGACTGCTGGGGCTTTCTTCTGCAGTGCTGTAGGGGGAAATGAGGACATATGGTCTTAGTCGTCTTAAGCCTTTCCAAAAAAGCAAAGATAACTCATTATAAAAGTCTAATCTATTTTTTTTCCTAATGGGAAATCAAATGAGATGCTTCTCAAAGTCACTTGACAATTAGACTTCCCCTTTAAACGTCCCCTTTAATACTCTGTTATCCTTGATGATAATTTGATAAAACACTTCTGACGAAAAAAATTACTTCTGAACACATCAAAGACTTTCAAGACTTTTTATGGCCTGTACAAATTAGAAAGACTCTTGAGTACTAATATGTTGCCTTTCATCAAGAAGGTAATAGCACTTTATTACTAATATTGAACATACTTTCTTGCAGCAGTCAAAGATAGGATTTCTATTGAGTAACGAATTTGCTTTAAATTCACGAGGAAGAAATGCATAGCAGCATCTTTCCAGCACGATCAACCAAGTAACTGTGTGTATAAGTTTTTAAGTTGACAAAGTGATGGACTTGGATGCTTTGGAGAGAGGGGAAGGAAAGGAGCAGTCACTTCAGGACTGTGATTCAGGAATGCAAATTGGTTGGTGTTAAAAACTTTGAGCTAGTGCTATAATTTCGTCCGGCTTTTGCTACCTTAGGGATCATACTTGAAAGCTGTGAAGAGCTAAAGCCTACATTTTTCTCAGTGGACTTCTTGTTTCATTGACACTAGTGGCAACAACAGAAAAATAAGATATTAAACATAACCATTTGGTGTTAAGGCCTGTTATGTTAATTCTGCTGAGCAATTTCTGCCTTGAAGTTTGTGCTTTGCAATCAGTAGAACTGAACTTAACAGAAAGTGCTGAAGTCCTTTATGGGGCTGAAACAGGAATGCTGCTGGTGGAAATGCTCCAATTTTGCCTGGGAGACAAAGGTTGTCTGTCTCCAGGTTGAGTTTTTTTGGCTCAACTCACTCCTAATTGCTCCGTGAACAGTTCTTCACTGCTGTTTTGTCCATCAAACATTTAGCTCTGAGGCAAGTCTGTCTGGTGGGTCTCATGTTCATATGTCATAGTGTTAAGGCCAGTTTCACAGCATCCTTTCTTACCTGAGGTGAGCAGTTTGTTTAGGTTACAAAGGCAAATAAAGATGAGTAAGAAAAATAGTGTAGATCTGAGGTGGTAGAAAGGCTTATCTTTAACATCTTGGCAGCTAGCAGGGTGTTCCATGTCCTGTCCTGAAGTCCTCATGGTTAGTCTGTGCAGGATTTCACATTTTGGCTTCATGACCTCACCAAGTAATTTGTGCTGTTCCTGAAAGATGCTGAAAGATCCTCCTTTTCTGAGTTGGAGTGGCATTGTGGTGTATGGGAATTTTTTTTTCCCCCTCCCACCTTCATAAAAAGGAGCTGTTAGGATAGTTCAGCAATGTCAAAGGAAGATCTTCATGCGAGCTCCTTGTGGTTTTCTTGTGTCCTGAGTGTATCTGTCCTTAGAATTTAGACATTCAAGGAGAGATTATCATTCTGGATAAAACAGATTCTGGTGTTCGGGCTGCAGTAAAGGCTATTAACATTATTTGTTTCTCCTCTTAACATGAGTTGTGGCAAAAACCTTATTTGATGAAACTGAGGCTCACTAGGAAGAGACTGTCAGCTTAACACTTGAAAAATGGGCAGAAATGGCTGTTTCTTGAAAATGTTAAATTGGGTAGTGGCTTTAATTTACTGCAAGACAAAACCTGGATTTAATTTGACCTGACTTGGATACGTGACAATATCAAGTGAACTCCTCATTTTGTTGCCACAGAGGGAGACTGCGTTGAGTCAAATGATTGGCTTTGTTTCCCTTTGCAGTGCAGCATACTGGTTTTGTAGCTGACATAAAGATACAAGGTAACCATTTTTTTTCATGGTGCTCCAAATGTTTAATTAGCGGTGGAACTAATACTTGAGAAGTTTGAGGACCAAAATATTAGGTGCTTAAATGTAAATCAAGCCTATGCTTCAGTGGCATGTGAAAAATACTCTGAAGATTTGCAGTCTACAACATATGTCCTTGTCTCGCTTTTGCTTTAGTTTTGCTGCTTACAAGTAGTGTGCTGTGTTGCACTAGACATACCTGGCCTATGTGTGTCAATAGAGAAAAGAAAATTAGAGTAGAAATATTTAGCCAGGAAGTGGAAAACCAGTTAGAGTTCTATTTAAAACTTCTACTCCTGGCCGTTTCAAACTAAAACAGAGTGCCTGTGATATGTGAGAGAGAGATGGTGTCAAAGCATTTCTGGAAAAATACCTCTCCTGCATAATGATGAATATAGACTTTGTTTGTTTATCTGTAATTCTGCTGATAGAAGGGAATTGCTTATTGGAAGATAAGCATGGTGTTGTGATACAGCAACATTTTGAAGAACGCTTTGCATATGTTCTGCACTATTGCATCACATTGTTCCTTGTTCTTTTGTCCAGTTTATCCCATGGGGCATCTGTCACCTTAGAAAATGAATTTTACTTCCATATTTCATAACTGTTCAAGGTGGAAAGAAGCTTGAACCTCTTGTTTAGCAACAAAAGATATATAGCGTTATACTGCCAGTAGGAAAAACAATTGTAATAATGATTGTTTGTTTATTTGTTTGAATTCTTCCCCCTTCAGGTTGGCCTTCGGCAGCTGGATATGTCACTGCTGTGTCAGCTGTACTCTCTGTATGAATCAATTCAAGAATACAAAGGTGCCTGCCAAGCTGACTCTAATGCAGACTGCTCGTATGCCCTGGAAAATGGATTTTTTGATGAAGAGGAGGAATACTTCTAGAAGCAGACAGATTGACCTCCAGGCTGACTGAACTAAGGTTCTTTTGTCCTTCTTTCCCTGTAACACACCTCAGCAAGAACAACTGGAATCTGGATCCCTCTTCCCGAGGAGGAATACCCATCTACCCCAAGTTGTGTTAAATTCACTTATTTTAACAGGCTGTCAGTACAAGTTACTCATGCAAATACCACTTGAGGAAAGTGCTGTACTCTTAACTTTTGAAGAGTCCTCAGACATGCTTGACAAGAGTTTTCAATTTAATTTGCAAGGTGGGTGTTTTCAACTTACAAACATTGGTAGCTTATAACTGGAATTTTAGTTGTAGAAGACAACAGTGACTTCCCGAGTTGTAATAACTTTGTAAGGGGGGAGGGAAGCCTCTGCTGTGGTGTAAATAGCTATAGGTGGTGTTTTTTGGGTGTTTTTTTTTGGGGGGGGGGTCAGTGATATTGATAAATGCATTTTGAACAGGCATCTGGATGCACGCACATCCTCAGCACTACTAAGCTAGTTCTGCTCTTACCGGCTGCATCCAGTTTTGTACTGGGTGGATTGTTTACACAGTTTAAATTTTTTTTTCCTCCTTAGGCTAATTTATTCCTAGCTTACAAGCTGTACATGTGATAGTGAATGTTATCAGCAGGGTTTTTTTTTTCTGTTGATCTAATTCACTTTCTTGGTACTGCCACTTGGCGTTAACTTTTATACTATTCTCTGGATATCTTGCATCTGCATAGCTCTTTGACCTGCTAAACACTGTTCTGAAATGGTTTGCTTAGCTTTTACTGTACTTCATAGTAAAAGCACAGATTCAAACATAGTCTGTCTGCCACTATGTGGCTTGG